TAACTGTTAGACCTAAACTGTTACTAGTAGCTGCTCTCGAAATGTCTGTGTTTCTTTCTTTACTTCGTTTGAACACGTAATAGCTGCTGGAATATCATGATGACACAGGATTTCATCCTGTAGCTTGCGCGCGCAAACGTGTAGATTCGACTCCCGACCTCCATTGTCTAGGTTGCGCGCTAAACTGCGTCGGTCGATTCGCGCTCGACTAGGCGCGCCTAGAAGCCAAGGTGAGAGGCCATGAATATTGGATCGGCCGCCGGCGCGCCGGCCTCCTGGGCGAGGGCAGCGCCGAAGGTCACGTGCGCCCAGCAGCCTTCGCCTGGCGCCGCGCCAGGCGCCTCCGCCGCACGCATCGGCCGCCGCCGCCGCCGCCGCGCGCGGTTCAGGACAATGGAGACCGGGCAGCTCCCTCGGCGAACGCGAGCTAAACGTTTCCTGCTTCGTGCGTTTTGTATTACGATACGGATTCTCTAATTGACGCATTTTGATATGGTGTTAAACGATGAGCTTTTCCATATTAATATAACAATGTAGGTACAATATTTGAAGTGCTCAATTAGAAAACGATTTTACAGATGTCAAGATATGCACAGAGCAGGGTTAAAACATCAGCGTATTTTCAGCGTAAGATTTGAACGTTTGTTCGTTAATCAAAGAGAAATGCAATTAGAATATTCATGATGTAGAAAACATTAATATGTGTTTACACATATAAGACATTGCAAGTTGTCATTATCATATTCTGGGTCACCATCTATAGAGAGTGCGAAACACCAACCCTCGTATTACTGCATGATTTTTAGCTTAATTCAATTTCATCCCTAAAGGGTTGAGATTATCAAAAACATGAATAACCATCGCCCAATCTACAGTAACCAACCTCTAACAGATGTCGAGACACAACTCACTCGGTACACACGATTACCATGTCAGAAAAGAAATAGCCTAGTGTCTTACTACAGAACGGCTAATTGAGCAACCGTGAAAACGCAAGCCGGTTATAAATACCGCACAGTCCGCCCCGAGTCCGCTTAATTTAGCTTTCATCACCGGCGCGAGTTTCAGTCCATTGCGCCTGATTAGTAGACTGCCCGGCGTACACGGCCGCCGCGCGGGTGGCGGCGTGCGGAGGGGCCGTGAGCGCGCGGGCGCCATCATCAATCTTACGGCCGGCGGCGGAACGAGCGACGGCGACGGCTGCGCGTGCGCGTGCGTGTCTCACGCACCGCCGGCTGCGAAACGGACAAGTGCGACGCACTCCGCGCCAAATGAGCCGAAAGCGGCGCGTGACAAGTACAAGGAAAAAAGTCGATGGGCTTAACCCCCCACTAATCTCCCAATTCTGTTCTTTTCGAGCGAATGAGGTAATTAATGCATTAAAGAGATGGAGATCTTAATTACAAGGGACAAAATTGGGCAAATTTTGAACGGCTGTCACTTGCAACGCATAAAATGATTACAAAAAAGATACATTTTTACGACAAATATCACAATATATTATGAAATTGAAACACTGTAAATAATGAAAACTTACATGACACATAAAATTATATTTTTAATTTTTGATGCTTTTTAAAATGTTAGCTTTTTCAAATATTTGCATCCAAATGTACATTCAAACATACGTAGCAATCTCTAAAATCACTAAAAAGAACTAAATAGAAAAAAAGGAACGCATTAATTTTGTGTTTTGATTTTATTTATGCGTTTCACATTTTTTATCGAAACTATACTATCATAAAACTACGGCCAGGTGACCTCCTGGAGTGAATACTCATCACTCGCTTCATTAGGACTACCCGGCCGTCATTTCGCCCGGGTGGGACCGCAACAGAGATAGCCGTGACCTCTGCGTCTTAGCCCCTCCCCCCTCCCCCACCTGCCGTCAGCCACCACAGGTCGCGTCTTTTTTTTTTACATAACATGTTGTCTCTCGCGAAATTGTGGCGTTCGAGATAAATTGGCAGTATGGAGTACGAGATACTTAAACGACGCCGAGTATCAATTACGACCTATAATGAACGTTTAGGCTGCTAAGCGTTTAGAGGTAGAGTTCCACAAGCCTTGACAGTCCACCCTCTCTTGAGCCTTCCACTTTCATTCTCCTCACAGAATCCGGTGGCCGTGAAATTCTAGCGTTCCGGCTCTTAAAAAACGGCGAATCACTTGATCTTATTTCAGATATTACATTATCGTTATGGAATTACTTCTTAAAACATTTTTAGGAAGAGGGAATCCTATTCTCTTTTATTGTTAACACATCACTAATCCCCGAGGTCCCTCCCTCTCCAATATCGTATTTCTCATCCTATAACCTGCCCCTTGGTACAGAAGACATCACAATTATTAAACCCAATTCTGTTGTCTCCCCCAACCGACGGAGGCGGGAGGGTAAAATTAATGAATTGAGTGCGCAGTGTGTCTCATTTGGCCGGCAGAGGTCTCCCTCGGCGCGTCTCTCCAAGGGATGGGAGCAACAGCGGCGGCTGGGGCAGGGGGCCGGTGGATCGCGGGGGAGGGGGGTAGAAATGCCGAACGCGAAGGGATGAGGGGAAGCCCCGCGTCGTCACGTGCCGTTCAAAACAATCGCTCGCGCTGCCATCTCGCGGCCTCGCGTCCAACTAATCCCCGCCGACAACAG